TGCCTACTGTATTATATTTGTATATAAAAAGTTCTATAATGTTTGTTGTAAATTGTATAACTATTGGGTACAAATGTAAGAGTTGTCTCTCTTTTTTTTTTCTTTTCTTTTTTTTTTGTATAATAAGTAGGTCGGCAAGATATTTATTTTTTGTCACCTATATTTTCTTTTCGTTGTCCTAAACGTGTTGCATTGGCACTCGGAATTTTATTGATTCATGTAATGGGCATTTTTATTTGTTTTAGTATTATTGTTAGAAAATTACTAAATTTTTTTTGTGTTTTGTTCATCGATATTGACATTGTTATTATTGTTTATGTGTTATATTTCTAATAAACCATTGTTACATCAAATTAAATGTATTTTGTTTCATTTTGTTCAATTGAAAAATAAAAATTGAAAAAAAATCGAAATTTCATTATTTCCAAAACAATCTGAAGAAACTCCCGCAAGGTATGGGTTATTGTTCAGACATGATTTGGTTATACAATAGCGATACCGTAAAAAAATAATCCCTTATAACATTTTTAGGCGGAGGGACGGGGATCCTTAAACTCATTGCTGTATACGTGAATAATAGATATGTGACACACAACAGGTGACAAATCCATATCACTATGAAGGAATAACGATATTGACATTTGTCAACAACTTGTTATATATGAACATTACCGGCAGAAATGCATTTCATTCGAGTATGAAAGCATAAACTCTCGTAACGTAACACGTGGTTTACTTATGACGTCATAGACAACCTTGTTCAATCATTGTCTTGCCGCTTCGCTTCGGATAACATGGAAAATTCCCCTACGTCAAACGCTCAAATGGCTACCGTTAATTATTGGCGCCAATTTGATATAAATAGGGCTGTTCCACCAATGTCATTTAACGGACGAAAAATACACAAAATGAAGTAAATAAGAACAAATAGATAAAATGAAACAATTCTTCTATAGTAAAAATGTAAATATATTGATTGAACAGCGTTTTTTGTTTATTTTCATGACGGTATGAACGCAAATCGGTTACATCCATATCAAACATGAAGCCCGTAACCGATTTGCGTTCATACCGGCGTATTGCAGAGTTATCTTCTCTTGGGAGCAGGTATTGATTATTACGTCACGTGTTTGTGAGAGTAACGTCATAAATTTTTGAATTTTCTCACACAGACAAATGACGTAACAATCAGTACATGCTCCCAAGAGAAGATAACTCGCGATACGCAAAGACGGAGTATGCAAGCAACAAAACGTGAGAATAACCGAGCATCTTTTGCACTACTTTTTATCGCCAACTTCTGACTAAAACAAAAGGGGAGAAAAATGTTCAATTCATATTACTTTTAAGATTAAATTGGAAGCGTTTGACTACATATTTCATCAATAATTTCCGAATAGGAAACAATGCGAAAAGTAAATGTACGAAAACGAAAATATACGTACAAACAACAACAAATTAATTAAAAGAAAAACAATTAAAAAACAAAAACACAAACATAAACACAGAAAATACAACAGTGTTCTGAATGTAAAAAAATAAACGACTCCAGACTTAGATTCGAACTTTGGACCTACAATCATAATACTGTCAATTTAACCAACTTCGTTGTCGAGTCTACGAATGAAATGGGAGGCTACTCTGAAATCAAAACAAACAAACAAATAACAACGTAATTATCAATTGTTTTACCTGCAGGTTAAGGAACTTTAAACACATTGCATACAAACTTTAACCTATATTTGCTTACCTTGATTCATCTTTTGACGAATTTTATATTGTTCTCTTACAGTCAAATTAAGCTATAAAATATTCCCGTACAAACTATATAGCCCTTCACGACTATATTGAAGTGTTCGTAAATAGTAGCTGATATTGTTATAGTAGGCGAGCCACCTTAACATCGAAGGACTCCTTGAGACAATTTATCTAAGTCTGGTTAGCTTAAGGATTTGTTACCTAAAATATTCAGCATTGAATTATTTCTTAATTATTGAAATTCATCCTCAATAATGCATGTGACGGGGTTTAATAAAACATTCTTGAAAAAGGTGACATGAAAATATTCATTCGTTCTGAGTTAATAAGATAATTAAGCTTAATGCAGAAATGAGTAAATGTAGGGGTAAGCTAACAGTACTTTTGACAGCTAGATAAGTTTGCTTTTATAATGGACCATACCCGTATCTACCTGTACCAGTCGGATATATAAACATAAGAGCTCCTCTCTGACCGCATCACGGCACACAGGCAGTGCCCTATAATCTACTTTAAGGTATAATTCAGCCTGGCTTATATTTTAAGCAAAAGTAGGAAGAAAAGTCCTCCAAGCTTTGTGACAAAGGAAATCGTTTGGAACGTCATAGTTAAATATTTCATCTTAAATTTAATACATATGTATTAGATTTGGACGAACAAAACTACAGATGCTGTGAGTATTTCTGTTGACATTTGTGAGACACTCGCTCAAAGTGACGGATACTAGGATATATTTCAATTAATTTAGTTTACGTACAAGCCAAAATAGTTTTCTACTATTAGAAAGATTGATAAAACAAGATGGTTTCCAAAGATGAATTTGACGCCTGGGACTGGGTGGCCTTTGCCGCCATGCTGGGTATTTCGGCCGGAATCGGAATATTCTACGCTCTAAGAGGACGTCGAGAAGCTTCTACGGCAGAGTTCCTAATGGGCGGACGAAACATGCAGTTGCTTCCGATTGCAATTTCCATTCTTGTGTCGTTTATGTCCGCCATTTTGATTTTGGGAACACCAGCGGAGATGTATATGGAGGGAACGCAGTACTTTCTTTACGTTATTGGAATCATGCTGGCTGTCGTTCTTGCAGCCTTGATATTTGTACCACTTCTGTACCCGTTAAACTTGACCAGTTCGTTTGAGGTAAGTAAAAGGTAAAACTAGTAATGGCAGAATTTGATTTCTTGCCAAAGGAATTCCGGCTCATATTTGGCCTTACAAGAAACAACAACTTCAACTTGGATTTATAAACTTATATATTTTATAAAGATCATATTGGTTAGTTGAGGCTCCATTTTAGCGCACATTTTTCATTGCGCATGCGTGAATGCCTCACCATAGCAACAACATGGCGTTGCTATGCAGAAATATCCTAAATGTATTATTTGTTGATATTTTTGGGAGTTAGAATGCATAACCCTCCCCATTTGATAACCAACCATTCCTTGTTATGAATGAAAACTGTTATGACAATGTTTAAGTAAACCAAATATGTATTTGATTGGAGTATAATACCTCCTGCGCAGGGAGGTTCTGGGAGGATCAGTAACCGGTATTGTTACCGGTATTGTTACCGGTATTATTCCCCTTCTGATTGGTGCCTGCGGTGGTTTTCAAAAAATGTTCGTTAATTTACTTCAAAGTGACTGTTTGTTTTAACGAAAATAGCGTTGTTTTGCAATATATATATATGTATCTTATGTCAGTTGTTGAACGAATTTGATTTTTGTATATTTGCGTTGTTTTATTTGTTCCAGATCACGAATATATCAACTTATTTGTAATTCCTGATAAGTCTGGAAATGACCATTATAGACATAATTGCCATACTAGATACTGTTCATGTACCTGTACTTGTATGTGTAGACAGTTGCGTAATTATTCTCTTGTTTACGGATATTTTTCCATAAAATATGTACTTTATTTCCTGTTTATCCTTACGAAATGCATGATACATGTAAGTAAATGTCGAAGGCCTTGAAAGTTATAACATTTAGAATTTATTGTAAGTAATGTTGCAGAGAAAAAAAATCCATATCAAATTTCATGACTTGTATAATAGTAGAAAAAGCTTAATGTTATATAATCAAAAGGTCCGGCTACCACAGCCCTGTGGCGGAGATGTTTTTGGTGAAAATTATGTGGTGAAAATGTAGCATAATTTCATGTCAAATATAACAATTATGGAAAGATATATCGATGAGTACATGTATATGATTATATCGACACGAACATGGTTATTAACCTCGACTGTGTGTCGGTTAATAATTTTTTCCCGGGTTCATGATTCCGCATATTTTCCTCGACAAAAGCCTATAATTTATCAATACAATCGCTGTATCATCCGTGTGTTAGACCACGGTTCTGTTGTCATGATATCCACCGTTTTACATGCGTGTTATCAAACATTATATTAATAATCATCCGTTTCGTATTGTCGCCTTATCGATGGTTCTTTTGTCGCGTTATCCACTGTTTATTGTCGCGTTTTGTACGGTTCTTTTGTTGCGTTATCTACTGTTTATTGTCGCGTTTTGTACGGTTCTTTTGTCGCGTTATCCACCGTTTTTTTTTTGTCGCGTTTTGTACGGTTCTGTTTTTCTGTTATACTCCGTCAATGGTTGCATTTTCTACGATGTTGTTGTTGCGTTATCCACAGTTTATTGCCGAGTTATTATCCGATTATAGTCTGTTGTCGACAATTATATTACAGCAATACCCTCTTGTTTGTTTCCGATTTACTACCACGTTTTCTACGGCTCTGTAGTCGACGCGTTATCCACCGTTTTATTGTCGTGTTATCCACAGCTATATTATCACGTGACATTAAATGATCTTGCAGCGCTATCCACTATTTTATTGCCGCTTTTTCTACTGTTGAATTGTTCCGTGTTCTCTCCCGTCTTCTATCATGTGAGAGATCGACAAATTAAAAAAAAACCGACAGGTCCATGTTCTCGTATAGGTTGTGCATTATCCATTATTTTCTGATGATAACGCGCCCCATTGTTTCCACAGTTCACAAAGTTATGTGAAGGAGAATGTTACACAGTAATATCCAATACAGATTTACTAGTATAACGAGCGTTTTACGATCAAAATGACGCCCCCTTATCATAATGTATGATATTAATTCAAGACAGACATGTCCATGCAATTAACATACGAACAGACAATCATAAGTGTTACCGTCACACGTGTATATGAATGATGTTGCATACATATACACACATGTATACAGGTGTGTAACTCACCCAGTAAGACTAACGAGTAGGTGACAGGTCAGCCTCTACATTGCGCGTTAATACGACTAAGTAAAATACTATTGTTCGTAATTTTGACGACAACAAATGCTGTTTACGACATTACGTTTGGTTCTGGGTCTAGTCCACATTTGGACAAATTGTTAATTAGTTCGTTGTTTTAATTCCGTTTTCGGAGTGAACGGATAACATCTTGCACACAGTAAACTACTTGGCTGTTGTTGAGCATTTTCTAGAAACAAAATTGGAATTGGAAAATGTGATAAAGATACTAACCAAATCTGTGATAATTTGAAAATATAGAGGATCCCTTAACGGCTGCATTTTCACATTCAACAAAACAAGATGGTTGCCAAAGAAGAGTTTGATGTGTGGGATTGGTTTGCGTTCGTTGCCATGCTGGTTATTTCCGCTGGTATTGGAATATTCTATGCGTTTAAAGGACGTCGAGAAAACTCCACCAACGAATTTCTGATGGGTGGCGGAGACATGAAAATGGTTCCCGTCTCCATTTCCATTCTTGTGTCTTTCATGTCCGCCATATTGATTTTGGGGACACCTGCAGAAATGTTCACGAAGGGAACTCAGTACTTTGTCTATACCTTCGGAGTTATCTCTGCTGTTGTCGTAGCAGCAAACATATTCGTGCCACTGATATACCCCCTAAAGCTCACCAGTTCATTTGAGGTAAGACGTTTATATATACTGATGACGTCATATGGATGACGTCATATTTTGTTCGGTCATTGTGTGTCGGTCATCCTCACAAACATTTTATTATTTTAACTCCTGAATAATATACATTTTGAAAGTAAAATATGTGACTTTTCCCCTTTCCGATAGTAGGTAATTAACTTTGATTATTTAATAGTTTTGCATGTTTTAAACCCGAACATTTCGTTCCATGCAGAGAAGTGCGAATATTTTGCCACTCGATGAGATAATTTTTAACACATTGCACGTCTTAATTCAATGAAAATATTAACAATTTAGGAATATGTGCTTCCGTATTGAAACAGTTTTCCTATCACTTTTGTGAGAGTACAGTTCAATAATTGTCACGTTACATTTAATTCATTGTGACGTCATATATTAAAGTAAAATGATCCCATGAATTGTCATGGCGGTTTATAATTATTTTTTGTCCCGTAAAGCTTGCGAATTCGAATGATAAAGAGAATCTCAGACTCGTTTCCATTACAAGTTCCATTTGTTTACCTATATGTTGTATACACATGTACATTAATTTCAAATTTTTCGTTAGATTTGATAAAATTTGTTATTTCATTTAAGTAATAACATTGTAATGATAATGTACGTAATTATCCATGACGTACAGGTCTTCCAAACAATACTTAAATCTAACAAGATACAAGATGAAATAAATTTATTTGAGGATCCCTGTCCCACTGCACTAATTTTCTCCTCTCCACAGTTATATCCCCTTAACTTTCATTCGGACATACAATGTAGAAAAGAATGCCGCTTCCGTTTATCGCGATTTTCCGTTTGGACCAGAGTTGTTCGTTTATGAGGTCGGACCTAGTTATCTGATAGTGCTTTCATGCGAGCCTTGACAAAGCCTCGCAAGGTCTGCATATACCCGAAAATGTGACATTGAAAAACAGTCAAACCGGTTGTTCCGCATAAACGAACTGACCCTTGGTAGCTCGGTTAAAGCGATAGTATAACGCTCCGAAGTCCGGTGTTCGAATCCCGGGCCGTTTCGTTTAAACGGTCTAACCGATCGGACCACTGTTGTTCGTTTATTAAATAAGGTCGGACCTAGTAATCTGATGCTGCTTTCATGCGAGCCTTGAGAAAGCCTTGCAAGGCTTGCATACACATTTGCAGGTCCGCCAGGATTTATACCCGCAATTGTTACATTTATAAACGGTCAAACCGGTTGCTCCGCATAAACGAACAGGCCACCGGTGTAGCAATAATGGAGTTTTACACAGAAAACACAATACATATAATTGAATAACTATTTTGTTTATTTTAGCTAAATCCTTTCTCATAAAACTCCAATAAGATATGGTTTTCTTTTTCAAAATTGATTTATCAAAATTATAGTCATGCTATAAAAACACAGTTTCCAACACTTAGTTACATGCAAAGCCAGGCTTTTGATGTAAATTGTAATGTATTCGGACACATGCAGTCCTTCTTAAAATCCAGCTGAAGATTTTGAACATAAACTATATGTATATATGTATTACAATTTACATGTTATTGACTTATTGTAATTGTTGAATTTGAAATTTATTGTCTATGCCATCACCTAATTATTTATAAGAAATATTTTGTTGATAGGAAGTGGCTTCATACGTTGCCAAATCCTTTGTACCTATTTTGGACAATAGAATATGTTTAAAGTCATTTAGTTACGAGTTTTGGCAGTGATAAGGAGGCTCTTAATATCGCATACATATGAACAGTGGAACATTACCTCGTGCGAGCTATATTAGAACGAAGAAGTTTTACGAGTATATCTGCATTAGTATACACTCATCAATAAGGAAATAGGTCAGACCCTCAATCAAAAATAATGTTATTCACGGGGCTCACAAAGGGGGACACTTTACAGTGTGTTATGTTTGCTTCCAATCATTTGTCGATTTCAGGATGATTTTGACGATCTGTCAATCACATTTGTTTATTTCTTTTGTTATGTTCAGTGTTATGAATCAATACGTTTAGTACATTGCGATATAATACATATAGACGTTTATCAAATGAATGTGTATTTCTAGATCAGCCATATCGCGGCTTTTCTCTAATAAACGTAGACTATTATTACATCTATGTGAAAAAGAAGTCAGTTCGACAAGGTTCATATTTTTTGTTGTTTATTATATTTACTTCGCGGGTAATTTTGGTATTGTGATTTAACTCTTGGCAAATTATATATATAGATGTGAAAATTCAACAAAATTAAACCCGTTGCAAAAGTAATCTACTTTAAAGTGTCGATCTGTGCGACATCCGGGATACTAGTTTGTGTTAAGTAGACAAATCTTTTTTTGGTAATTGAAATCGAATCTCTGTATCGTTTTAATCATTATTTCCTTTTTTAATCTTTAAACAAAAAAGGTGTTTTATTATGATTACATTTATTTTTTATTGCTGTAACTCGTTATTTGACAGAATCTAATTGCGTGGTTATATAAAGATATTTTTGGAGTTTTCGAGGGGTTTTACGCCATAACCCATTTTAGTATCATGGGACGAATCGTCGTGTCACTTTTGTCGCTGTTCGCACTCACACAGTATCAGTACTAGTACTAGTGCACATGGTCAACGAAGTGCTCAGTCTAATTTCTGCCATCGGCTAACGCTAGCCTAGGTGCTTATTGTTTTCAAAACGTGAGCTACCTCCTATCATATTTCTGATACTGGTTTTATATATTGTAATTTGTTTTGTTTTCTTTGTCTTGATAAAGGAGCAGAAAGCTCCGAAAATTTGACAACATAATATTGTCGTCACTGTAAGAATTACGTCCTTGTCCTATGTACAAAAAGGTATATATCAGCATTTTAAGAACTGTAAATGAATATTTAATGAAAACAGTTATATTACCACTGTCTGACGTAGAACCAATTGTTGCAACGTCACAGCCAATAGTGTACACACATTTGCATTACGTATTACACACAGTACAGTTAAAAATTAAGTTACCCTAGTTGGGCCTTTTATCGTATATGTTATCAGTTGTAATGAATGACAAAAATGAATTCTCTTTTGATTGATATGCGTTTATATATGCAAATCCTTTCCAGTTCCCTGGGGTTAAGGTCAGATTAAACTTAACGATCATGTTGATGTCTACTTCTCAATCAAGTCGGGGCCTTTCACTTCAAATGGGGTTTCACATAGTCTCGTTCAACCAGACGCTTGATCACTTGTAATTCAAGATTCGGCGTAGCATGCGCAGGCAAAAAGAGTCTAGTTGAACGAGACTAGGTTTCACAGTACCACCTCAAATGTTTGCATGATTCAATAAAAGCAAGTGTGTAGTATTATTAACAGTAATACATGTACCACCGTTACATGACCTCTGCCCCCCCCCCCCCCCCCCCCCCCC